CAGCCGTAAGACAAAAGTAAGAAAGGTTCAAACACGTTTCCCAGTCTGATTTCTAAGTTTTATGACACACTGATTTCAAGACAGAGATGCAGATTTTTTCTACAGGATATGCTTAGACTAGCCTAAAATACACTCATGACAGGTACTATTCAGATATTCAGGTGTCAAGGTGTTCCAGATACATCTTGAAATCAACTTTGCCTTGCATATTCTATGTATACTGTTTTGAAGCTAATCTGGCATCCCTATTATTAAAGCAATGAAGAGTCCTAAGAATAAAAGTATCACCATGTAAGTGCAACCCTCACGGATAATTCACTTCCTCCCAAAAGAAAGTGGATATAAGCTTAATATAAGCTTCCAGCAAAGCCCATTTTCTGATTGCAGAGATCTAAAAGGAAAAAACAAAAACCCCAAAAAAACCAAAAACCCCAACAAAACAACCAAAGCAGTGCATCCCATTAGGCTATTCATACCTTGGCAATCATTAAAAGGATGCACACTTCTATAAAGTGGACCGTGCGAGCTCTGAAATACCTGCAGGTGATTGGTGCTAACGCAGAATGTTCTGGAAAATCGTTCATTATCAGTAATTTAAAGTTGGCAATCAACTCTTGCCACCGAGAAGGTTATCTTCTTTATCATTCACATGCTATTACTTATGCTAAATTACAGCAGACACTCTTTCAAGAAAATAGTTGTGATGGCCAATTTGCATTCACTTCCAAATTGTGGTTGTACTTTCAAAAGACAAAGTACTCAACTTTCAAAGCCCTGTGTGTCTCTACTCCTCTCCTGAAGTAACACGACTGGTAACTTCAGAGAAAGGGGAGTTATATCAACACTGAACACCTTTGAAAATCCCACCTTGAATCCTACAGTGCACTGTGTAATACAAGCTGCAGAACAATGACATCAAAACAAAGGGAGAAGAAAAAAATTTTTATTAAGTATTGGCGTCTAACAGTTCCTAACCAGTAAGATTACTTCTCGTATTGGGTTTGCATGGCAAGGTTTTGGTAGCAGGGGGGCTATAGGGGTGGCTTCTGTGAGAAGCTGCCAGAAGCTTCCCCCACGCCCAACAGAGCCAATGCCAGCTGACTCCACGACGGACCCACCACTGGCCAAGGCCGAGCTCATGAGCGATGGTGGTAGCACCCCTGGGATAATGTATTTAAAAAGGAGGAAAAATGGCTGTGCAACAGCAGCTGGAGGAGAGAATTGAGAAAGTGTGAGAGAAACAACTCTGTAGACACCACGGTCAGTGAAGAAGGAGGAGGTGCTCCGGGCGCCAGAGCAGAGATTCCCCTGCAGCCCGTGGTGAAAGCCATGGTGAGGCAGGCTGTGCCCCTGCAGTCCATGGAGGTCCATGGTGGAGCAGATCTCCACCTGCAGCCTATGGAGGACCCCACATCAGAGTAGGTGGATGCCTGAAGGAAGCTGTGACCCCGTGGGGAGCTTGCGCTGGAGCAGGCTCCTGCCAGGACCTGCGGACCCATGGAGAGAGGAGCCCACGCTGGAGCAGGTTTGCTGGCAGGGCTTGTGACCCCATGGGGGACCCACGCTGGAGCAGTCTGTTCCTGAAGGACTGCAGCCCGTGGGAAGGACCCACGCTGGGGCAGTTCATGAAGAGCTGCAGCCCGTGGGAAGGACTCATGTTGGAGCAGTTCCTGGAGGACTGTCTCCATGGGAGGGACCCCACACTGGAGCAGAAGAGTGCAAGGAGTCCATCCGCTGAGGAGGAAGGAGCAGCAGAGACAACCTGTGATGAACTGACCGTAACCCCAATTCACCCTACCCCTGTGGAGAAAACCAGTAGTGAAGTTAAGCCCAGGAAGAAGGGAGGAGTGGGGGCAAGGTGTTTTTAAGATGTGGGTTTATTTCTCATTATCCTACTCCGATTTGATTGGTAACAAATTAAATTAATTTTCCCCACGTTGAGTCTGTTTTCCCCACGACGGTAACTGCTGAGTGGCCTCTCCCTGTCCTTATCTCAACCCACGAGCCTTTCGTTGTGTTTTCTCTCCCCTGTCCAGCTGAGGAGGGGGAGTGACAGAGCGGCTTGGTGGGCACCTGGCATCCTGTCAGGGTCAACCCACCACACTGCTGTAGGTCTGACTAAACAAGTTCATGACCATTTCTGTTCAGTAATCGCGAAACAAGTCATGAGAAAAAAAGGCCAGCCTTTACCAGTTTTTGTAACAAGCCTGATAACTGGGTTTGATAAACTTAGTCCTTCATCAGTAATGACATGTATCAGCTTCAGCATCACTGAAATACTTACTGATTAGACCATATTGAAAATGCTGTGGAATAGCATTTTAAAATTTGTTTTTGCGTTTTCTCCTTGTCACACTAACATATTCAAACATGCAATGGGAGGAGGTAAGAGATACATGCAAATGCATGTACAGAGCTACCTACTATTGCTATTAATATGGGACAGCTTTTTGACAGCCCATACTTACAGTAAGGCGAGGGCATTTTGACTTGGCAAAAACTCCCATGAATATGTCAGGGGCATTGAACTCCTGAAGAAATAAAGCGACATCCTGTGGAGAAAGCAAATAGAGAAGTGAATGGACTTTTATGATTTCCAAACACAAAATCAAATCTTTTCTTCATGGCACAAGGACTGGATCAAAGAGATGTCAAACTCACTACAAGAGATCAGTGACTTCCAAACAGTTAATACCAATAATCCTTGCTTTTCAACGAGAGAAGATCAGCAAGCCCCTATGGTGATTCAGGATGCCAGTGATTTGCTACACAACGAGCCAAAAAGTCACATTAGTTTCTTCTGCTCTCCGTCTCAACAGAGGATCAGAGACACTAAGTCAGAATTCAGCAAATGCCATGTTTTCAGACAGTGACATCACCCAGGCTTACAAAAAGAAACAAGGGAAGAGATTACCATCAGCACTTGATCAGACCATACAGAAGAGGAAATCTCCTCATTTTACCACATTAAAACACAAGATTAGTTCTCTGTTTGGGAGCAAAGGACACATCTTCCATGTTTATTTCAAATATCTAAACAAAGATCCAGCGAACAAAATGATACCTGTGAATGTAACAAATGTAACATGTAGGGGATGTTATCACTTCAGGTGGTCAGAATCATTGCACCACCAAAAGAAGTCTTGGTTCTTTGTGAATAATTGGGATGGTTGTAAGACAAGAGACCCCTGAATAATTCCTTTAGGTGGCTGGGCCTTGGGAGAATAGGTATGCAAACTACAGAGATAAGGAAGCTGCAGGATAATCTGAGGACCCTGCCATCACCGAGAGACACTGACTAACATGCCCGAAGTACATTACCATATACTAATGAGTCCTCGGAAAAGCTATGATAAGCATTTCTTGGAAATGTAATGAATGTGTATGTTCACACAGCATAAATACCTAGTAAGTGTGTCCTTTCGGCGCACACGTTTGGAGGAGAGATCCCCCATGTGCCCCGCGCCGTAATAAAGAATACTTGCTTAATAGTCTTCCAACTATTGTCTTCAATTCTGGCTTTTCACAGCATCAAAAATAATAATAATTTGAAAAAATGTATACCTCTTACTTGAGAATTTGTTCTAGCATTTGAGAATGATGAGAAAAACATCAAAAAGCTATGTCACACTGCCACTGCGAGTCCATAGCTAAACTTACAAAGGTTGTTTATCTATCAGAGAAAACTACGCTTACCAGCAGTATGCACTGCACTTGCTAGAGGAAAACATGGCTGCTCAGAGAAGGCACCAATACTACCTCCACAATCCAACTGCTGAAGACGCTCCTACCTCGTCCATCGACATGTCCCACACTTTGCAAATGTCGTTCTCCGTCTCCTCGTCCAGCTCCGTCCGGACTCCCTCGGGGCTGGCGGGGGGCTCCGCCACCTCGGGGCGAATCACCTGAGGGAAAACGGGGGCTGCCCAGGGCGCCGCGACCGAGGAGCGCCGGGAAGCACCAACGACGCCCCTCACGGCT